AATCAAAAAATGCGTCTCGTCACTGATACAGTAGAAGAGGACCGATACTGGTTAGTAAGAACTATAGAAGAAATGTTGCGCATTCCCGTTTTGGAGAAAAAAAAGAAATAATAACAGAACTAAAAATTAAGCAAAACAGGTGAAGAATTTATAAATCAACATAAAGATAATTATTGAACATCTGAAAAAGGAATATCGACCTTGATGAGCGGAGCCAACGCAAACGTTGGAGAGGTACAGCATTTGCTCAGATAATTCCTTTTCAACCTGCATTAACGTCTTCTTGAATGCTTGTGATGACTCCTCCATTTTCGTCTAAAAATCTCCTAATAAACCTTCTTAATTTTGCTACCATAGTGACTGAAGTTGATGAGAATCTACAAACTTTGCTAATTTGCTTCTCTTTTGACAATTCCGATATGCATGTTTGAGCATGCCGTAACAAATTGCCAATGGATTTTTCCACCTCCGTAATTGCATTCAACCGCTGCACGAGATCAGAACTACCTCCTCTCATAGATGTCATGACCACCTGTGCTACAGGTGATGGGTATAACTTCACGTTGTTGACATGCATCAAGCTTGCGAAGACAATGTGGCAAAATTACCTTGCTGCGGGCAGAGGTACATCAACTTCTTTTTTTAAGCTTCATTTAAATATGTTACAGATACTAGCGACGTCAAGAAGTAAGAAATTTGTAGGGAAGATTGAAAACTTACACCAACATAGCAAAAGACAATTGCTCCTGTGCGTACAGAACAAAAAAACACAAGTTAATAACCGAGAACAGGAGCGAAGGCGATCACAGAAGTTCCAGTAAGTTAATAGTGGGAAGGCACTCTACAATTCCTACAATAAGAACGACTAGAGGAAATAAACACTACATGCGCCAAGCAAAAGCGATATTACTTGCACAAACATTGCATGGCGTTAAAGGCATTGTATGGTTAAAATGCGTAATATACTGATCATAACAAAATAAGAACATTAACAATAAGCAAAAGGAAACGAGCAAACGCAATAAGGTAAAAAGTTGTTAGAATGATAAATTGTGAGGCATCAAAAGAAGGAAAGGAAATTAATAGAACACTTAAAGAAGGCACAAAATTATTAATTTGAATAAAAAAAAGAAGATCGGAAATTGTTCACAACGCACGCCCTTGAGATGGTATAGGAGGAGGAGGAAGACTTGACAGCGGCTTAAACGTGAACCTAAAATGCGTGTGTGAGCAGTCCTTTCAAGTTTCCTCATTTTGATTACTACAACATATAAAACTAATTTAAACTTTCGATTATTACCGATCAAGAGGGTGCGCATCCTTCGCTGGATACTTGGACATCATAACAGGAGGTGGTGGACTTGCGACAGAACTAGCTACCTTAGAAGCTCCTCTTGGTGGAGGAGGCGGAGCGCCTTCATCTGATCGCGAGCTCACGGCAGGTGAACTACCAAATCTAAAATTTTAATGACAACATTTAGGGGAGACTTGACGATGCAAACGCTAGAAAATATCTAAGATATATTTTTGTCGTAGTTTGAAGAAGCATATGCAAGATACATACAAAAAAA